GTGTAAATGCACCTTTCTTTATTAGTATTTATTTCGTGGAGGACTATGATTGATGTCAAATAAGTAAAGAAAAAAAGTGAGAAAAAATTGGTTGCATAGTAGGAATTATCAAACAAATAGTGGTGATGAGATTATTCATCATCATGTTTCTTGATATGCTATGATGATCCTTTGAAAACTTTTTTCAATCGCAATTGATGTGTTAAAATTTCTCTTTAGATCAAAATCATGACTAAAGGAAACCATATATTTCATACACTATAATCTATTGATGAATTTTTTTTTTAACTTTCTATTTAAAACATATGTGGGTGAAAGTGTTACAACATGAAAAATTATTAAATAAAAACGACAAAGACGGTAAACAATAAGGAAATATACGAAAACGTATATACATATCTTGAAGATCCATAACCTTCATCGAAATTCCAGGAGAGACCGAGAGCTAATCCAATCAAAGCACGACACATAAAGCACATAACACAAGAAATCAAATTCGAAGGGTAGAATACAGACTCAACCATGAAACCGAGTTCACAACGAAACCTGAAGAAATGCAACACCAAAAGTAGTAGAGCAGACCAAACTGACAAACCACGGCATCGAGGAACCGAAACCAAGAGCCTCACTTAAGGCCATATAACCAGCTAGAAGACGCCAACTTCAAGTCCAAAAGACGACATTAGATTACGCAAGCATTGAGAAGAAAGGGAAAGGCACAATGCCGCGTAGACTAATCCCTTCATGAAACTTAAAACAACATACTTTCAGAGTAATAATTTGTTCGGAGTGAGGTTTTTGGTTTGTTCGGAATAACTATTGATGAATTTGTTCGGAGTAATAATTTTTTTATCTTAAACCATCAAATTTAGATGGTCTAAAATTACCAATCACCAAAATATTAACCGTTAAAACAATTTGTTTCATACTAAAACATTTTAAATTTTTAATCACTAATGGGAAGTTAATTGTACCATATGCTTGTAGTATTTTAACAAAACAAAAAAAATATGTTTAACAAATGTGTGAGTTTCTCGGAAGCTCATATCACAGTCATTCTCTCAGTTCCAAGCACCATCAGGTAGTCAATATCAAATATTTGATTCTGTGTTTTCTTCTTTCACGATGTTTCATTCTAGTTTTGTTCTAGAATTGTGGGTATTTTAATATTCTCCTCTTTTCTTCTACTTTATTCTTGCAATTTTAATTTATTACCACTTTTTCTTATTAGATTTTTTTATTTTTCTTTGGGCTATCGGTGTCGTTCCTTTATAGAACAAAAGGCACGTACATTGCTTTAACTATAAAAGTCGAAACCCAAGTGGGATGTGGGGTTGTCTAAAAAGGTAAAATGAGAAAATAGATGGCTATTTTTTTTAGTTTTATTTTTAAAATGATGCGATGATAAAATCGTAGATCAGTGAAATGTTGTTTAAGCGTTATATTTTAAGCATATAGTGCAATATCATGTAAAATAGTGTGTAAAGAAGAAGTGCTGGTTGACCAAAAACACAAGAAGGAAGTGTCGGAAAAATAAAATATGACTATTAGTGTAAAACAATATTTTGTATAACTTTTTTTTTCAACAACCTGGATTCTAAATCTATATGGTGTTCGTTTATATTTCAACTAGTCAAATATCTATATTTCACGAATTCAAATCAAATCGATCTATTGTACCGCGAATCATGCTTGGCTCATGAGAACATGAAGCAAATTGAGAGCCAATATCATTTGGAATCATAAGGACAAGACAAAAGAAGATTCATGATATATATAAATTTGTAATCAAATGCCGAGGATAAATGATGGAGATGACTTCACGCTTGTAAATATATATATTTTTGATTTTATTGATCTTATAAACAATCCAGTTGTAACATATATAATGTTATAAGAAAAAAAACTATATGCTAAAGGCCTAAAGTATTAATTCGTAGAAGGATTGTAAAATGTAAAGCACTAGTCATTACTTTAGAAAGTTATAAATTGTTAATACTTAATCCTGTCATATAAAACCATTTTTGTAGACTAAAATCAATATGCAGAAAAGTTGGTATTATTCTTAGGATCGTATGATGATGTTAAAGAAAGTCCTCAATCAAGATATAAACAATTTTAAAAATGTGTACATAAATAATTTAGCAAGTTTTAATATACATATATATCCACGCATGGCCGGTTTAATATTGTCATAATTTTATAAAGTATTTCCAATGTTTTTACTGTACTTCATTCTTATACATTCAATAATATTACAAACAATATTCTAAATCTTAAATTTGTAATTTTGTTCTGAAGTTAACATGTCTAACATTTGAGTAATAATATTGTGGAACGATGAAGTGTAGAATACAACAGTAGAAAAGTATTTCACAATCGTTAACAACGTATGTAAATGCAAAACAACAGAATAATAATTCTCTTTTATTTCCATCATTAAAATGATGGAATGACTCGACAAACAAAATGATGAAATGACAAAACAGTTGAATGTAAATAGAATTTTCACAAAATTATATCATTGATAGGAGAAAACTGTGGAATCAGTATTCTAAAATTTACCAGGTGACGGAAAAAGTCTGTTGTTTTAGGGAGACAAAACGACAAGGGCTCGTGGATTCAAACCAAAGCTTTCAATATTAAAAACGACACGTTGTTCTATGAACTTTTAGTGCAAAGACACAAATCCCCTTTTTCCCGCCTCTTGTATTATTGTATAATTTGTCGTTATCATGAACTTATACTATAGGAATAATAAGTGACAATTGCTTTATTGTTATAAATGCAACAAATAATGTAGGTATTTGCACTACTTGCGGACAAAGATGATCAAATATATATGGATATTTTAACCAAAGTAACCAAATGAATTTCAATCAACCAAAAAATCAATAATTATACATTTTAAAAGTTGTTGTTTGTAATTTAAAATATTTTGAGTTTTGTAACTTTTTATCAAGTACTTTTTTATGCAGTTTACCACATGAATTAATTACTTCATGGTTTTACATACATTAAATACTTTTTCAGTCAACAAAATCACATGCTAAAATTTTAACCCTTTTTTTTTTAGCATCATGTTCTCAATCACTCTTTTTTTTTTCTTGCTAACAAAAGAGTTAATCAACAATTTAACAAATTGTC